CTGATATAAAAGCTTTCTGCAGCATGGCTAGACTGTACAGGTTGAAGTATAACAGTTTCTGAGATCTATATAGGTAAGAGCATAAGGGAAAAAAATAAATAAATAAAACCCAGAAACCCTCAGGTGCCAGGAACACAAGGGCAGTGAGCTGAGGCTGGGATATCTGAGATGGTTACCAGACCTGGAAACAGACCTGGATAGCCGGGACCTTGGACATTCATGGTCCCTCAGAGCAGCGCATGAGGCTCCAGGCCTGTAAACGACACAGCAGTACCTTCGACAAACCAAGCACTGGAGATAGCTGCCCACTGGCCCAGTGAAGTGGGAAGGAACTTGTCCTCAAGCCAAGAAAAAAAACATAAAAATTGGTCCTGAGCTGGTGATACCGCTGGGGTACCTGGCAGATGCAAAGGCAAAGTGCTCTGATATCCCGTGATAGGAGCTTCATGTACCCAAGGTCTTGACGGTTTACAGTTCTTTTGCAAGGCCAAGCATGTTGTGACTAACAGATAAGGAAGTGGAGGCTCAGCAAGGCTCCAGGAGTACACATCAGGAATAAAGAAGAGCTGGGCCTCTCCAGTCCCAGAGGACTTCCCCCCTGCCTCTAGCAGAAGTATGGACTCCTTGGGGCACCTCTTATGGCCCAAATACCCAGGAAATGGCCCAGCTGGTACCACAGGCACTGGGAGGTCAGGTGCAAGTGCAGAGGGGCCTGAGATGAATGCCTATCCAGTTCTGGCCACCAAGAGGTCCCTCCCCTCCCTCCCAGGCCTCCACACTGGCCAGCTGAGCGCTTGAGCAGAGGAGATGTCTAGTGGGGACCAAGAGGAGCCAAAGCCTTTGGGCTGACATAAATCCAAAGCTGTGCCATGGAATTGGAGTCTTGTGTGTGTGTGTGTGTGTTTTCTTTAAAGCCACTTGAACTTTGTCATTGCAATTAAGCTTATCTCTTCTCATGTTTGCTCAGCTAGTGGGTGGAAGAAGTCATTACCCTTTCCTAAATTTATGGAAAACTAAACACAGGTAGGAATTTGTGAAATGGCTACTAGTCTTTCTGGCCTCAAGATTTAAAAAAAAAAAAAAACCCACCAGTGAACAAAAGGAAACTACTCGGTGTTGCCTGGAAATGGCCAAGTAGAGGATCTGAGGGAGAGAGGGTTCTCACCTTGTGTCTGTCAGTCTTATCTACTACTTTTCTGTCTGTCAGGCTGCCCATCTGCCAGGGGAAACTGTCAGATCCTCACTGGCCATGCCAGGCACTTGACTGGCCAGAGCCAGCCCCATCCCTGAGTGCTGGGTCTGCAGGTGCTGCCTAGACAGGGTGGGGGGAAGTGCAGAGCCAGGCAGGAGGGTCCGCAGGGAGTGGGTTCACGGGTCCTGCTATTCCTCAGACACTACAAGAGGCAGTTCCAGAGGTATTTGCGACAGGTGCTGACCTGCCCTGTGAAGTAACATTTGTGATCCCCTCAAGCCACAGACTACAACCCTGTGGGGCATATCTTCTGAAATCTATGATCAAGGCACGAGATCTGGATTTATATGCTAGACGCCCCTTTATCTGAGCAGGCAGCTGAGTGCCTGAGAGGGCATGGCATATCCAAGATGTTGCTGTAAGATTCTCTCAGTAAGTACCTGATGAATGGGGTCACTGACTGTCCTTGGTTATTTTGTCATTAGTTTCATGCTACCAAGTTCCTAAACGTCCCATTTAAGCAAGTTGTTATAGACTTGCTCCCTGACAAGGGCTAGAAGAGTTCTTAAAGTAGGCTGAAAGTGGGGTGGGTGGGGTGGGTGGGGTGCGTGGGGTCTCCAGTAGACTTAAATTTGGTTCTGTGCTCAACCACTAGTCATTAGATAGACATATGCCAGTTATTAGTCCAGGTTGTAGATGGTATATATGTCCCAGACAAAAGAACTTTAATTCCTCCGAGGCCCTCCCTAAGATTTCTGGAGACTCCTGGGGAACTGCATCCCCGTGGACACTCCTTCCTGGTGCTGCTGTCTCAGCTCCATCAGTCAATCCAGAAATGAAACTGAAGCTCAGCTCTTCATCATTCCAACCTGCCTGTACATTGATTCATGTGTTTTATGGAAGCTCTGGAGGCAGGTGGGGAGGGAATTGAACACAGATGGGTGGGGATTCACTTTACAGCATCCACATTGAACATAAGCCTTCCTAGAATCCTTCCTGCTTCCTGCTTCCTCCTCTGCTTCCTGCATCCCTCTCATGTCCCATAGCCTGGGGGAGCGGGGAAGACACAGTTGGCCTCTCCTAGTCTCCTTCATGATGGAGCAGCCTTCCCCTCACCAGCTCTGATCTCACTGACATACAGGCCTGAAGTCTCCTACATCCTCTCTTCCAAGCAGCTCCTCCAGTCATTCACACACACACACACACACACACACACACACACATACACACACACAGTTTCTTCACCAAGAGGAACTCTTATGGCCGTTCTTAAGACCAGGAATATCTCACTTCTTTACATGTACAAAAATGAAAACTCAGTGTCTCACCTGAGGCCAGGGCCTAACAAGGCCTAGCAGTACAATGAGACATGCCAAGAGCTACAGAGTCTGGCCTGGAACAAGGCGAGAGGGCAATGTGGCTGTGCCCATCACCCTCTGAGCCACTTTATCCAATCTTGTCTTGGCGCTCTGACAGTTGGGGTGCCTATAAAGAGCCAGGGGTTCTCAGTATAAGAGCCTGCTTGGCTTTCCCCAGGGTCAGCCCCAACCTGCGGCCTGGGAAGCATGTCTATGTCCCAGACAGTGTCAGAGGAGGGCAAAGTAGAGTGGCCCGCGTACCAGAGGAAGGTTTGCTGGAGCCAGGAGCCACATGACAGCACACTGAGCTGGTGCTCTCTGCCCGTGTCCCTCCAAGGACAGTGACCTCCTCGAGGCAGGGTGCTTGCCAAGGCCACCTGTCAGGTGTGCCTGGCACTGGACGTGTAGGTGGATTTGAGAATTTCTGAGGCTTTCCAAATCAACATGTGTGAATTTTGGTGGAGATAACCAACTATGGGCCCACATACCTGTTTACATTATGAGCTGCTCGTGCCTGTCTTCCTGCAGCACCGACGCCCCTCTGTGAGCTCTCATCCACTTCCGTGTCCCCGCCTCCTGCCCATCCAGAACCAGAGGCTGCCAGGCTTCTACAGCAGCCCAGAGAGTTTCCAGGTGCAGAGCTGTGGGTATGCTGGCTGGCTGATGAGCAGGATGATCTGCTGTTTGCAGGGACAGATTCCCAGGATGCCCAGGCAGGGGCAGCCACTGTTGAGGAGCAGAGAAAGTTCTGGAACCTCCTCCCACCCCACCCCCAGGCACAGGCTGAAACAGCAGGGCGGGGTTGCAGAGAGACTAGAGAGAACACATAAGCGTGGGAAAGAGGAGAAGCTCCCAGGTCTGGGACCACACTCGACGGCATGTTCATGTCCTCTTGCACTGGCATCCCCGACAAGGCAGAACCGGTGAGATAGAGACACACAGACACCAATCACACACTCGAGCACGCGCACACAGTTACACACAAAGTGTCTCATTCTCACACTCAAACACACAAGCACACACACAGTCTTCACACACAAGCACACACACATAAACTACATACACTCAAACATGTATATATAATCACACACATAATTACATGCAACCACACACATTCAAACATGCACACATAATTACACACACACAATCTCTCCCTCTCTCTCAAACACACACATACATACACATGCACACACACACACACCAGTCTCTTCCCTGCCAGTCCAGTGATTCAGTGATTTGGGGGTTGCGTGCCCCCCTGATCATGCCATGTCTCATATTTTCCCTTAAACAGAAAGGTTATGGCCTCCTTGTCCTTTGATGGCTTTTGTTTGCTGACACGTGTCTGACTGAGCCCCTACTATGTACCAGGGACTGAGAAAACCAAAGTCAAAAGTGCAGTGACAAATAGCATATAGAGAAATCACCCTGGTGGGAGTTAGAATACAGGTATCTGAAAGGGTTCATCCAGGCAGCAAACAGGTAGAGGAGGGGAGGAAGGTGGAGGGGCCAAGCAAAGACAGCCAGGAGGGCCTGGACACCCAAGGCTCAGCTGCCCCTGAGGAGCTGCCTCCTAGGGAGAAGGAAGGAAGGAGGGTCGGGTACAACCTAGCAGTCGGGACTGAGGACAACTCTGTCAAAAGTCTGTAATGACGAGGGTGGGAAGAGATCAGAAAATTAAGTATCTAAGGTGAGGTTCAGAGTTCTAAGGGACTGTGGTATTTGTGTGTGTAGACAGTCGTCCCCTTTGTCCACAGGAGCCACGGGGGGGGGAGGGTGTCTCTGAAACCACTGGTCGTACCAAACCTTCATACCCTACGTTTCTTCCTAAACATTCATACTTACAAGAAAGTTTAATGTATAAATTAGGCACAGTAAGAGATTAAAAACAATTAATAATAAAATAGAGCAATGATAACAATATAATATGTGTTAGGTAAATGTGGTCTTGCTCTTTCAGAATACCTTATTTTACTGCACTCAGCTATTTTTGGATCACTGTTGACTACAGGTCACTGAAGCTGCAGAAAGCAACACCACAGGTAAGGGGGACATCTGTACATATACATGCATACACATACACATGTGTCTATGGGTGCACACGCGTGCCCAACACTTGTGCATACATCTGCACACAGAAATAAACACACATACACATCCACGTTTGTGCACATGATACGTATGTACGTGCACATGTAAATATACAAACACATGTACACGTATGCTTGTGTGCATATGTATGTGTGTGTGCCCATCGACAGAAACACACACACTACTTCGTGGATGGTGGCGAGTGTAGGAAGTTACCGTCAAGGCTGCAGGGCCATAGGGCTTTGCATTTGATTGTCATTCATTAATGTTTGCTGAATTCGAACAGACCTCTGCTGCGCCCATCCTGTTTTTTTATTGTTGACCATTGCTCTCAGGAGTTAATGTTTGAACCTGGCCATAAAGGACTGACAACTGCTGACCTATGGCCGGTCTTCGAAGGGGAAGGAGCCCCCTATAAAATAGCCCACAGCGGACAGCCCAGCCACCAGCCTGTGGGTCAGCTGTGGAGAGAATCTCCATCGCCACCATGAACTTCTCCGGCAAGTACCAAGTGCAGAGCCAGGAAAACTTCGAAGCCTTCATGAAGGCAGTCGGTGAGTGCTGGACGGACACCAAGGCTGTTGGTCACAGCAAGAAGGGCCTGGTCTCCCTGGCTGTGGCAGTCAGGGTGTGGATACTGATGAGAAACAAAAGGTTGGGCTCTGTACAAAGGGGGGGGCATTTATGGACTTTCCGGGTCACTTGCAGACTGCTGGGACTCACTGGACATGGCCACCCTCACACAAGTGGAAAGAGTCCCAGGCTAGGACGTGATCTGGACTGAAGCCATGTCTGCTGCACTTCACTGCGTGACCCTGTTTGTTCGTTCACGCGTGCGTGCATTCTAACCGTGGCTTAAGGCCAACCACACTCAGCACTGTGCTGGATAGATGCCAGGGAGAAGGCAACGAGGAGCCACATCCGAGATCACGGTTTAGAGAGAGACGAGGAGAGGAAATACATGTAATAAAAGATCCCGTAAGGTACACAAAGTGCTGACTCTGTGCCAGGCACTGTGCACAGCACTTGATATGCAGTACTGCATTCAGTCCTCTCCCAAAATCTCTGAATGGGGTATCATTACTTACCCATTTTACAGCTGAGGCAACTGAAGCCTGGAAAGGCCATGACCATTTGTCACATGGGTAGAAAAGTGTCTGAGTCAGAGTTGGAAGCAGGGCCTGGTTCCTAGAGACCCTACTTTAAGCCCCTGTGCCTCCCAGAGTCACGCGCCTGGAGGGTGCAGTGTTCTCAGAGGCTCAGTGGTAGGAGCCTGAGGCTGAGAACTAGAAAAGTTCTGAGCAAGTGTCCACTAGGGGACTGAGGGAGGGGAGCGTGCTCCGAGGGGAGAGAGACCTTCCAGCAGAGTGCAGTGTGACAAAGGAGGGTGCAGCAGACAACAAGGGCAGGGGAGGGAGGACCTCAGGGCTGTCCAAGAGCTCGAATCTTCAAGTAGTCAAGTCTTGTCATCTCGATCCTCCTACCTAGGCAAGAGGGTCCTCCACTCCTGCTGTTGTCACACAGGATTTTTGTGAACTTCAGTTCATATACCAGTGCAGACGTGCTCTGAAACCTGTAAAGGTCTATCCAGGGCAAGGGACGCCTGCCACACCACACTCTTGCAGAGCTGAAGGCAGAGCTGGGCCAGCACAGGTTTGTCTGGCACAGCCCTGCTTGTGCATGTGGCCCTGGCTCTCCCATTATTCTCAGGAGTCACCTGGCTTGGAACATAGAGTCTCTGGTCACCCTAGGCATGGAGGATGGCATGCTTCCACTCCAAGAACGAAGTGGTTAAAGGAGAAAGGCATGAGGAAGCAGAGTGAGAAGGGAGCAGGGAGCTCACTACAGGGAAGGCTCTTCAGGCCCAAGGATTGTCCTTCTTATAAACTGGTAGCACGGCAGGCAGGCCAGCCCACTGTCTTCTCCTTTTGGAAGCCAAAACCACTGCTCCCAGCCAGCAGGAAGCTTCGAGACAGAACAGCATCTCCCCCCAAGCTCCAATTTTCTCTTTCTTGGCCTGAAATTCCCACCTCTGCCATCTCTAAACCTCACATGGCTTCCCCCAGGTCTGCCCGATGAGCTCATCCAGAAAGGGAAGGACATCAAGGGAGTGTCGGAAATCGTGCAGAATGGGAAGCACTTCAAGCTCACCATCACCACTGGGTCCAAAGTGATCCAAAACGAGTTCACCTTGGGGGAAGAATGTGAGCTGGAGACCATGACTGGGGAGAAGGTCAAGGTAGGAGGAGCCCTCCAGCCACCCTCTGCTTCTAGAATGTTCCTAGAATTTGGCCCCAGAGTTTTCTCCCTCAAGACTCACACCTCCCAATTCCCACCATGGAAACCCCATCTCTGGGTGGGAGAAGGAGAGACATGAAGACAGCTCTCAGGGAGGCTCTTAGGAACGCTCTTAGGGAAGCCCCTCTCATTTCCCAGGGACTGTCTAGGAGGGCACTCTGGCTTCCCAAAGCTGAGCTCTCCCATGGAGAGGATAAGGGAAGCAACACAGAGCAGGACTGAGTCACAGAGTCTCCTAGGCACAGTCCTCCTGGTTCTCAAAGTCCTTTACTCAGCAGTGGGATGGGTAAGGGGTCAGTGAAAAACCAAGTCCAAAATAAACTGGGCTTTGCTGAGCCCGGAGCTGGTGAGAATGGGGAGAGATGTCTTGAGGGAGAGGCTGGCAACACCAGAACACCAAGCCCCAGGTGGGTGCTCAGACCAAACCCCAGGGGTGGTCACTAAGCTGCTGTCCTCAGCTCCCTCCTCTAAATCCTGGGAGTTGGAAGGTTTCCCAGGTTGAAGGCAGTGGGCAGGGCAGCCTCACTTCTGCTGGGCAGTGGCCCAGGGTGTGCAATGATAGCTAGGGTGTTGGCTGTAAAATGCTCAGCAGGTAATAGGGGAAGCCTTGGCATGGGAGGGCCGCTCTCCCTCCCTCAGAGACATGGCACACCCTAGCATGGCCAACGCCCCTGAGCAGCCCTTCTCGTTCCTCCCCACCCGTACCGTTGTTCATCAGGCCCACATATGTGTCTAGGTGCCTTTTTATTATTTTTTTATTTTTATTTTTTTTAATTATCACAGGGAGCTCATGCTCACCAGAGAAAGAGGGAAAGTGAGAAAGTAACCCTCCCCCTCCAGTGGGGCATGGTCATACCACAATCCCTTCTCCTCCATTTCTACGTCTTGTTGGAATTTGGGGCACGTACTTGCACCCAGCATGCTTTTCACGTTGCTGGAGCTGGGATTCAAACATAAGGGATATAGCTTCCTCTGCCACCAGGCTACGGGGATGGCCCTTGGGTCATTCTTTTCTCATTTCTGCCTCTCCAGATGTAACATTACAGGTCAGGATACATTTTAGGAGGAAAGTCTTCTTGATATGTCCTTGAGAGGGGACAGGCCATCCTGGGTTTTACCACTGGCCTTTTCCAGTTGTCCACTTTGGCGGCAAATCTTTAACCTTGGGCAGTGCCTTCTTCTGCCAAATGGGTTTCTAGCTTACCTCATTTGGGATGTACAAGGCTTGGAAAGGAGGCCACAATAGGAAAGATGAACATTCTGGAAGGACTGACACATTTGTTCTCTCAGCAAAGAGAGTTTTGCCACTGCCTCCATCCATCCTCTTGGAGAATTGAGATGCTACTTTATCATTTGTTTATTTATTTTAATTTTACTAGAGAATGTGTGCACTCACCAAATAGAGACAAAGAGAGAGAAAGGAAGACAGAGAAAAAGTGAGAAGGCATCCCCATGGGGAACGGCCACACTGCAATCCCTTCTCCATTCTCGTCTCAGGATACTGGGCATGTACACACATGAACCTGTGTGTTTTTCAAGCTGCTGGGTCAAGTACTCAAAGCTCACAGTTGGCCCTATAGGATCCAGTCGCCTACTAGGCCACCTGGCTGGCCCTACTCGATTGTATTTTGCCATTTGTATTTGGGACCACTTTAGCTTCCTTCTCTCATTTCTAGAACATATACTACAAATTAAAATTCTGACAAAAGAAGCCTTGACATTTTCTTCAATGTACCTTACTTCTTTTTAAAGCCAAAAAACTGGGGGTTAGGAGTAAGGAAGAAGAAAAGTTTGGTTGTTGTAAGCTGAGACCCATGCAGAGAACCAGCCTCACTAACAAGGGTCTTCCTCCCTCCCCACACCCTCCCTCACTCCCATCCTTCTGTCCCTGCAGACGGTGGTCCAGCTGGAAGGTGAGAATAAACTGGTGACAACATTCAAAAACATCAAATCCGTGACTGAACTCAATGGTGACACACTCACCAGTGTAAGTTGGAGCTCATGGTTCCCAGTGCTTGGGGGGCAGGAGAGGTGAAGGGTGAGGAACAACTTGCACCTTCAGCCCCAGCCCCTGGCTGTTCCTATTGTCCCTATCTGCTATCACTTACTGAGGACAGTTATGGACCAGACAGTTACACACATTATCTCTAATACTCCCAGCCACCCTGAATTTTCTAATGGGGAAAGTGGAAACAGTCCTCTACTAGGGAGTGTGTGAGAAAAACCATGAAATGTGCAGTCCCCAACCTCACTGAGCCTCTCCTACGAAGGAGACAGAGTGAGGGGTTTACTAAGCAGTTTGACTTATCCAAGGTGATCAGCCTATTAGTAGTAGACCTAGGGCTCAGACTCATTAAGCAGCAACCACTGCATTGCTGCTGTCGCTCGGAGCTTCTTTTTCACCCAGACAGCATGTGATGTCATTACAGCTGTCTTATTCAAGAGAACTGGCAGGGACAGAGGAAACATTTCTCAACAGCCTCGGCATTGGTGCATCCAATGTCTTTATTCAAATCAAGGCGTTAGGAGGAAAATTCCACCCTACCCACCATATTCCAGGCCTAGGTGATTACATGTGTATGTATCCTGGTCTTCCACGTGTACTCGGTACATAGTAGGTCCTCAATGAAAATGTAAGAAATTGGGTTAGATTGGGCTGGTTTGGATGGTCTTGCTATAACAGCCATGGATGTACAAAGGAATTTAATAAAAGGCAGGGTGACTTGCCATATGAGGAAGTGAGTGAATTTTAGAAAAATAGTCCTACAGGGAAAAAAAAAAAAGAAGAAGAATCTTTGCATTGTTTCATGTATACATATATTTGGGGCTATTTTGTAGGCTTAACTTTTTTTTTTTTTCGTAATTCAACATTGGATGAGCATTTTATGATTTCTTTTTTGACTTTCAGACCATGACTCTGGGCAACATTGTCTTCAAGAGAATCAGCAAGAGAATTTAGACAAGTCTGCATTTTATATTTTATTGTGTAAAATTAATGTAATAAACTTTGTTTTAAAAAAATCTGTTCTTCTCCATGACCTCTCCTTGGCGATGCTGTTAGTATTAGTGGGTACTGATCATCTATTTTATTTCCTTTTCATTTGTCAGAGAGCATGTGTGAAAGAGAGACAGAGAGGAAAGCACTCCCTGGTAGGGCATGTCTCGCCACAATCCCTTTTCCTCCATTTCTCCTTCCTGTCAGGACTTGGAGCGTGCACACCCACCCAGCATGTTTTTCAAGCTGTCAGGGCCTGGATTTGAGTGGCATGATTGGCCATGTGGGATCTGGCTCCTTTAACCACCTGGCCACAGGGCCAGCCCTCAACTGTGTTTTCTTAAGCCTTGATAACCTACACATTCCTCCAAGTCAGGGATGAAGGGCAATTCTTACCCTGAGCATGGGCCTCAGGCTACCCACTCAGGTGTCCCCATGAGCAGCATCGGGTGTGGCTGGATCTGTAGGGCGGCCCTGCAATGCCCTTTCACAATCAGCCACATGGGCAGGGAGCTGGAAGAAGAGGGTGTTCTGTGGGCTGCCCTTGAGGGGCTGCCCCAGGGAACTGCAGGGATGCTGGACAGGCAGAGGGGACAGGAATGCTGGACAGGCAGAGGAGAGTCTTGCCCACGACTTCAGCCATGGTGGCCTACCACATGGATGGGCACCACAGGTCAAGCACTGGCCCACAGAGGGACAGCTGTCCTCCTATGGGAGGGCTCAGTGAGGGGCTTGATGAAGGGTACCAAAAGCAGGCAGGTGGGCGTTCCTTCCATGCCATAGGCAGAGGCAGAATGGAGGAGTAGGGGAAAGACCCCTGACTACTACCTGTGCCAGACTGGTAGATACTTGTTAGGGTTGAATTGCACTTCCCCAAATTCTTGTGTTGAAGTCCTAACCTCCGCTACCTCAGAATGCGACCTCACTTAGAAATAAGATTGTTGCAGATGCAATTATTCAAAACAAGATCTACTGGAGTAGGGCGGGTCCCTAACCCAGTATGGCTGCTGTCCTTACAAAAAAGGTGAAATCTGGGCATGGAGACCCCCACATGGGGAGTATGCACATGAAGATAAGAGCTTTTTTTTTCTTCTTTTTAGCTTTACCACTTGCTAGAGAGAGACAGAAAGAGAAAGGTAGAGAGGGTGAGAAATCACCCCCCAGAGGCAAGGCCAAGCCACAACCCCTTTTCCTCCATTTTCCTCTTAGGATTTCGGGTATGCACACGCACAGCCCAATGGGTTTTCAAGCCACCTTGTCCCAGACTCGAACCATTAAGATGGCCATGTGGGATCCAGTGCCTTAACCTCCACACCAATAGGAGTGTTGTTGCCACAAGCCAGGGGCCATCTAAAGCTAGGAGACCTGGTATAGTTGGTTCTCTACCTGCTTCAGAGGGAGCCTGGCCCTGCCATCACCTTGATCTCGGATGTCCAGCACCCAGAATTGTGAGCTAATAACTCCCTGCAGTTTGAGCCACCCCTTGTGGTATAACGGCTCCTGCAGCCCAGTGTTCGCATCCCTCACCCAGAGAGCTGGCACTTCATGCTAAATGACTGAGTCCATCACAGCTGCCCCTCTCTCTTCCATTTCTAGGGTTGAAGCCCCATCACTCGTTCCTTGATTGTTTCACAGGCCACCTAGGGCACCGTCCTGCCCCCTCTCCTACCTGCAAACCTCCACCCTGACAGTGCCGTCTTCCTCAAACGTGACACTGCGCACACTGCTTCCCACTTCACTGCCCAGCGCATGAGAGTCCGGTTCCTAACCTGGCACCCAAGTCTCCACAGCAGGTGTCAGCAAAGGGCTTCTGTAAAGACCCAGAAGGTGAGTATTTTCAGCTTGGTACATCATTTGGTCAAAATGATCCCTATCTCCATTATTGCACGACGAAGCCACAGGTGTAGAGGTATCCCAGCCAAACTTCATTGTGGGCACTGCAGCTTGAATTTCACGTCATTGTTATACATTATAAAACATTACTCTTCATTTGTTCCAACCATTTAAACATGTAGAAATCATTCTTTACCTATCGCACTATACGAAACAGGAGACAAGACCCAATCTCAGAGGTACAAGTAAGAGAGTCTTTGTGCAATGATGAGCTCACACAGGAGGCCCAGGTTTGGTTTGTGGACTAGCTTAGACAGTCTGGGTGCAGTAGTACATGTCTGTAATCCTAGTGAACTAGGAGTCTGGGACAGGAAGAATTGTGATGGGGCAAGATCCTGTCGAAAGACCTGTCTTTCTTTTTATTTCTTTTCCTTTCTCCTTCCACCACTCCCAAAGGTGCATGTCATGAGCTTACCAGAGAAAGAGAGATAGATAGAGAGAGAGCTATCTCTCCAGCTCCTCAATGAGGCGTGGTCACACTGCAAAACCTTTTCCATCTCTTAATACTGTCCAGATTTGGAGCAGGTGTGCACACACCTGGCATGTTTTTCAAGCTGCTAGGGCGGAGATTTAGACCATGGCTGGTCATGTGAGACCCAGCTCTCTTAACTCCTGCACCACAGGGCTATGCCTCTTTGCATAATTTAAGTGCCACCTCCTTAACTCAAACTGGCTCAGCTGAAAGTATTCTTTCCCTGTCACTGGAATTTAATCTACACGAATCTTTTGGAAAGCAGTTCCTCCTGCTTTGCACATGCTTTCTCCATGTGTTTGCTCTCTTTCTCCCCCTTGACATGGAAGAGAAAAAAGAGATTCACTATTTGGGGGAGTAAGGCAAACTGAAGGAAAGAATGTTAGTACCTCAGGAAGAACTCAGAATCAAGAGTTAAGGAAAAGGAAAACCATAGCACACTACAATATACCATTCAAAAAAAAAAAATTCCAGGTGAATTAGAGAGCTACATAAATATGAAACGTTAGGAGAAGGGATGTAAGTGAGATACTACTTCAAAAATAAATCCATTAAAAAGTGAAAAGATCAGTAACACCGAGGGTTCGCAAAGATGTGATGCATGGCTTTATCTTCTTTGGTGGAGATACAAGCTAGTGAAGCTTATATAGAGGACCATTCATACATTTCTTAAAACTTGCTAGAGGGCACATGCTGTTTCTGAAGAAAGACAGAGGGAGAGAGAGAGAGAAGAAAAATGAAAAAGCACCCCTCCCCTCCCAGGGGGATAGGCATGCCACAGTCCCTTCTTTACTCTCCTGGGACTTGGGGCATGCACTCACACCTGGCATGGCTGTTAAGCCTCTGGGTCTGGAACTTGAATTGTACTGTTAACCTTGTGGGATTCAGTCGCCTTACCCACCACATCACCAATCTTTTTATTTTAAGTGTATTCATAGTTTCTTTTAAGAGACAGAGAGACAGGGAACTCTAACAGGGCCCAATGCTACAGTCCATCCCCAGCTTCAGACAGCCCGGAATCATGGACACCCATATACCTCGCTATACTTAAGAAGGACTCTGGTCACAAACCCAGAACTTCCGCGTGGGTCAACCTCACAGAGCTTTGCATTTTACCACCATGTTCCCATCTGACCCCACTCATTAGTATTATTACTGTGAAATCCCTCATGCCCAGCAATGCTGCTGTTGCAATTGCCCTGGAGGCGTTCATGCACGTGCACAAAGGAGCATCTAAAGGGTGCAATAGCCCAAACTGGGAGCAAACGCTTCTCGGCAAAAAGAAGTTAGATAAACTGGTACAGCCATACTCTGAAACTATCTGTGAGAGATGATATGAATGAAGTAGATCGACGTGACTGATATAGAAATATCTACAAATACTACAAAGCACTTTGTAAAACAGCAACTTGCAGAACAATATACATAATAGAATATCGTTTGTGTAAATTTTGTTAAAATATCAAACCAAACTATCTTTTTATATAGGTATGTGAATACACAGAAAAAGAAAAGTCTAGGTGGTTCAAATACCAGATAATAGTCATTATTCTGGGTAGAAACAGAATTGGATGGAAGGTCAAAAGACCTTTTGGGGGACCAGCAGTTAGCATATTGGCTATGTTGCTGGACTCCCACGTAGTCGACCATGGTTTGAGTCCCGGACCCGGTGGCTTAAACTCACGCCGGGCGCGTGTGCGTGCGTACCCAAGATCCCAAGAGGAGAATGGAGGAGAAGGGATTGTGGCGTGGCCATCCCCCCTGGGGGATGATTTCCTGCTTTCTGTCTCTCTGTCTCTCTCTGTCTGTCTGGCAAGCGCACACGCCCTATAGCAAAAACCTCTCAAAAAAAAAAAAATAAGACCTTTTTGTATCTTACCTTACTTGAATATTTTCTAAGAAAATTATTTTGTAGAGCTATCTTTTTAAATAAGCAGTTATGTTTTTAATGACCAGGTGACTTAAAGTAAAAATAGTGCCTTTGTGGGGTCAGTGGGTGGCATAGAGGTTAAGGGAGCTGGATCCCGCATGGCCAACTGCATGGTTCGTCTCAGATGCAGCATCTTGAGAACACACAAGGTGTGAATGCCTGCATGCCCAAAATTCCAAGAGGAAAGTGGAGGGGACTCTTGTAGTGCAGCCTTCCCCTCCCAGACAGAGTGATTTCATGTTTCCTCTTTCTCTCTCTCCCTCTGTCTGCCCTGGAAAACACATATGCCTTATAGTAAAACTAAAACTAATAATAATAATAACCTTTCTTTAGAGTGGGCTTGAAGACATGGTTCTAGATTTTTGGACCTCTGTTTTCTCACCTGTAAAATGGGCAATACAATACCTTCTCTTGTGGCTCTCGTGAGGAGCCTATGAATAATGCAAACAAAATAAAACGTGTTATTACCATTCTCAGATTCCCCAGGGAACATCAGTTGGGTATGGTATTCAGACCATTAATAGAAACTTTATCATACTCAGAGAAATTAACTTTTGAGAGCCCATGTCAAACCATGGTGTGGAGGTTAAAGAAGCAGGATCTCACAAGTCCCAGACCCAGTGACTTGAAAAACATGCCAAGCACGTGTGTGTGTGTGTGCCCAAAATCTGGAGAGGAGAAATGGAGGGCTTGCAGTATGGCCATTCCCCCCAACACCCCTTGGGGGGCGT